TTTAATACTGCGCATCTCCATATATGAGAGAATTGTGGAAATAAATAAAATTGTGGAAATAAATTGTGGAAATAAATAAAAAGTAATCTCTTGGTTGAAGTAGTCCCTTCCTCAACAATTTTTACCTCCCATAGGATTTCCGATTGTGCTGAATCTAAAGAGTTAAACACACACACACAAGCATTTTTCCAACTAAGGCCTGTCTTCTGAGGATGAGGGTCGGGGAAGGGAGTGCTGCTGGTTATGGATGTTAAATCAACAATTTTTTCTTACAACAAACCCCTGGCACCCTGTTCTCACCATGTCATGGCCTGTGATGACTTAGTGTCTCCCAAGCATGACCAAGTGATTAGCAGGGCTGTGTCTGTGCATCTCAACGGTAATGGGAGCTCTCTTTCCATTTGCCATGTATTGAAGCCTGAGCGCTTCGCTGCCTCGTGCAGTTTCAGCTTGATGAATTCATTATTCTCCATAGTTTTCTCCTCCCTCCTTCAGAGAAAACCTTTCCCTAAAATGCCAGGGTTTTTTTCCCCATTTTAGAAACTGGGTGTTTTTTTAAACACGAAACTTTGATATCAAGTCTACAACTGCTTAGCTGCACCCAACACCATTCTTCAGAAGAAGAAAATAATGAAATGCAAGTTCTCAGATACAAATACCACAGTACTGTCTTCAAGAGAAAGCACACAAGTGTAGTTGGGTATTTTCTAAGGGAAAAAAAAGTTGGTTTTTTTTTTAGATTTGCAAAGGAACAAGGCAAGTTATTTGCCCTAGGTGAGCAGTGATATGCTAGTCTAAACAACAGACCTGAGAGCTTATCTCCCACTGTTTGCTTTTTTCCCCATAAACAAAGCCCAGCCATGTTTGGAGTGCATCCTTCCCCATTCCCCCATTCAGAGAGTGTCTGCTCATCCTGACCCTGTACTCATGGACAGGGATGCATTTGGAGGGTGACAAGGGCAATTTCTGAAGAGCCCGTGGTTTTATAAGGCACTTTCAGGAGAAATGGGAAGGAAAGGAAATTATCCTAATGGAATGGAATAGTAGCTAGTCAAAGAACATCTTGCTTCAAACCAATCTGCAGCTTCCAAACTTACTCTTTTCAGTTGTACGACTGGCCTTCAGTAGCAAGAGAACTATAGGGGAGAACTCTACTCCAGGACAAGCAATAGACAAAAAACCTCTTTCTAATATTTCTGAATCAAGACCTAGAGTTAAATGGACAATAAGGACTCTGCCTATATAAAGGGTGACATCACAGACTCTGGTCTTTTCAGCCACCTGCAGATGCCCAGGTCACAATCAACTTTATCTTCACACACACAAGGTAACATGAACCATCAGAAAAAAATTTTTTTAAAGATTTTATCTATTTATTTGACAGAGAGACAGAGAGCACAAGTAGGCAGAGGGAGAGGGAGAAGCAGGCTCTCCGCTGAGCAGGGAGCCGGATGTGGGGCTCGATCACAGGACCCCAGGACCATGACCCGAGTCGAAGGCAGCCGCCCAACCGACTGAGCCACCCAGGTGCATCCCCCCCCCTTTTTTTTTACCATCAGAAAATTTTATCTGAGGGCAATGAGGATAATGGCTAAAAGCTCTGGCCCAGAGTCAGTCTACCTGAGTTTGAAACCTGACCAGTTCAGGGACCTTGAGTGGATTATTTATCTAAGCCTCAGCTTCTTTGTCTGTAAAATGGGAATGTTACTACACACCGGATATGTCACATGGTGATTAAATGAAACAACACATGAAATGTGCTTAGCACATATTTAGCTACTATTAAAATTAATATCAAACACAGTGGCATTGATTATTTTTTTCTTTTTGGTCATTTCCTGATATATCTTTATATATTTATTTTCTTTTTTCAAAAGCAGATATACATCTTTCTGGATGAAAAATTTGTTATCAACCAGAATTATTCTTATCTTACCCAAATATGAATAAAATGACCCTTCTCCTGTGGAGGTTTTTTATATATATACTCACATATATATAGAGAGAGAAATAAAATAATATATATATATATTTTTTTAAGAATCTACTCCAAAAAGTTTGCAATACATGACAGCAGTGCTTTGTGCAATGAATGCCAGATTATTACAAAAATGCTTCCTTCTACAAAATGAGAAGAGATCCTGCCTGCTAATTAAGTTTCTTACATACAGCAAAGCCTTATCCCCCTGAGGGTGAAACCCTCCCAAATGGATATCTCCTCCATTAGGCAAAATAACCCCATATCCTGCCACACTTACAGGCACAACCTTGCTGTGGTTACACAGCGTCTCACGATGATGCTTCAGATCTAAATATAGGGTCATGGTGCTGGGGGAGGGGACTGAGAATAATAAGGAGGGAGAGCAGGTGGAGACCCACGCACTAAGAATAACCAGAAAGCATGACTACATTTAGAGCTTCCCATGTGTAGGATTCAAGCAAATTAATGCTTTGTTTCCAGAAACAAAAGAAACAAGAGCTATGTCCAGGTTTCGCTGAACCTCTGACAGGAATAGACTCTTCTTTACATATATTTTTTTCTTTTGAAGAACTGAGAGCTCAAAAGAAATCCCTACAATCACTTTAAGACCTTCTAATTCCCCAGCGGCATCCAGACCACAGTTAGGGAACGACCTGCTCACAGGGGCTGGCACCAGCTTCATGCAAAACAGCTCCCCACACATAAAAGTTTTATTCGGCAAAGTCTTAACAAGCAGAGCACACACTGCAGTTTCAAGTATCTGTTTCTCTCACATCTTCAGGATGGATGCTTTTTACAATGTTTTGGCAGAAACAAACATCTGTTTTGGGGGATGACACCTGAGACTTTTAACAATTCCTATAATGGAAAAGTGCTGACCAGAGGAATGTTTACAGAGATTCTTTGTGCGGTGAGGATGGCCCAGGTATCTTGGTCTGCTCCACAGAAGCACAACCAACCAACATCGCTGAAAATCTCTGGGCTGACTCCCCTCAACATTTTTCTAGACCATCTGCTAAAGAAGAGAATCTCTTATTGAGCCTCCTAGAGAATTTTCTGCATAAGCTGGGGCTATTCACAGATAATATTTGGTGACGAATCTGCCTTCCTGTCAAACTGAGAGAGGTCTACATGCCAACTGGATTTGTAGAGTCCCAAGAGAAGTTTGGGTCCATAAACCAGTGAATGAATTCCATTAATACATATATGTAGCTTTTCCATCTGTGACATAAATGACATTTTTTACTTGCCTATTTCTGAAGATTCTTTATTAAATAATAAACTCAAAAATAATTTCATACAAATCACCAGCGTATGTAACTATCATTCCCTGTGATTACAATGGCTGCCTCATGGGCGAAAGTGAGGTTCTAATTCAAGATCATGATGGAGTTTGCCAGTGTGGGCCCTTTTATGGCAGGTCCAGATCCCAAGGCTACTTTCACAAAACCAAATCCATCAAAGATCACTTGGAGAGAGTCTGTGAATTACTCTTAACTTCAAAACGTATTTATGAGTATCAGAGGCTGATGAGGTAGGGCAAGAAACTCTTTTGAACAGCTTTATAAACCACCTTTTGGGTTTTCCCAACCCTACAAGAAAGGAACCTCAGTAAAGAGATTCTTTAGCAAACAGAAGTGCCTCCCCCAGAGAACCTCCACACACTGGAAGAGGCTGGTCAATATAACTCAGAATATGTTCTAGAAACTTCACCCTCACACCTTCACCCTCACACTCACGCTGGAAAAGGAAGAAGTGGTGCAAATCTATCCAAACATTTCAAAGGCAAACCTGCTTCCCTGATAACTGAATTCCAGTCAATGGCTCTATATCTTCCTATGATGGAAAAATCCTCCCCACCCCTATATTTTTCATATAAAGGATAGGCTGATCACTTTTAGTTAATAAATTGCTTTTCCATAAAGCTAAGTGGGATAAAACTCACCTCTTCCATATCGTAGAATGCAATAGGGGTCAAGTCTTGCTTAAAAGCCATTTGTCTGGTGTCATTTATGGTATCAGCTACCATAATCTTATCACTCACTTGTGGGGGAGGGGGGTGACGGGAGGCCCAGCACTCAGGACAGCTCATGGCAAAGCCCTAAGGGGGTAAATTCATTACAACCTCTCCCTTAGACTTGATCCAGAAGAGTTAGGTTGGATAGGAGAGGCTGCCACACAGAGGCAATGATTTGGGAAGCAAAGAGCTAGGCAAGATCCTTACAGATGTATACCAGTCCTTGGGAGCTAGAATATAGGTCTCCTGGACAGGATGTGAAGTAAACAAAGACCAGGAGAGCTTCTAAAAACTGTGCTGTGGCCAAAGGCAGTGAAACTAAGGGGAATCTAAACTTTAGGTCTCCTCACTACGGAGATCCCTCCCAAGGCCCTGAGTATACACAGTTAGATACTTTGGTGACATTTCCTAAAGCAAGAAATTTCAACGACAACTGAGCTCCAACTTTCCCTCCGCACTCTCCTTGGTTGGATGGCCTAGGAGTGGCCTCAGGCATTGTTGGCATTTGGCTAGGGGACAGATGAGTTAGTAATCTGTTTAGCTTGAGTTTAGTGTTTCTAGCTATGTGGTTCACAACCATTTCCACACAGAGTTAAACTGTTGTTAGTCATCCCATGCAGGAACAACCTACAAGAGGGCTCCCACCACTCCATCAACCATGGGTACCAACATGTCTGAGAATGCAGGGCCAAGGGTCATATAGAGATGTAAAGGGGTCATTTGGGGGCACTGACTATATGTGGTCATGGAAGAAAAATAAGGTTTGAAATGTCTGAAACAAGTTGTCGTCTAGAAGACTCTTCTAAATCTCATAGCTCATATATGAAAGAAGCTTGACAGAGTTTTTCCAAAAACTTGACAACAATCCTAAAAATTTACATAACACTGCCAATAATGAGTAGTGTAACTGAAAGAAGTTTTTTTAAACCATCAATAACAAAAAGCAAATTTTAGTCAACATGCTAGAGGAAAGACTAAATTATCTTTCTATTCTCTCTCTAGAAAATGAAATTACAAAGTCTTTGTTGTCATAAGAAGAGGCAATCAAAGAGCATGAAGCCATAAAAGGTAGAAAAACTGTTTTATAGAGGAGTGTCAAAGAGCTAATTAAATTTTTGTTATTTTTCTGAATTTTTAATATTTTGATATGTGTAAGCTTTGCTAAATTTAAATTTTGTTGTGATTTCCTTTCTTGTTCTGAACAAATGTTCACTTTTGTAGCTAATTTTGCATTTTTAATTTTATATCCTTTCTCTAGCATTGCTGTGTTCAAGAGAGGGATCATGCAGGCATGCTTGAACCAAAAACGTAAAAAGGCAGCAACTCATAAAGCAGCAGAATGCCAGTGGTACCAGCGATTCCCCAAGGGGAGAATCATCACTGCTGCTGCCTGGTCCAGCATCCCCTTCCTGCTTGGAAATAGGTTTCCAGTGCTCAGGTTTGGAACATCTTAGTGTGTATGTCTTGTTATAATGGATGTGATTCCATTACAATCATACTTCCTCTTTGAGGGGAAAAGTGAATTACAGGGAGAAAAGGACTGTGAAAGGATGTTGAAGGTTTTTATCTAAGCTGTCCATCTAGGTCCTATAGAAAAAGTCCAGGTCCAGAGTTTGATGAAGACACTCATTTCTGTCTACGATTTTTTTTTTTTTTTTTTTTTTTTTGGCCATGTGGGCTTAAGACCAGGACAGTTAGCCAAGGTACTCCATGGATAGAGCAGAGGCCAGCAGTGCCCTGCCTGCATCTCTTCTCCCTTACCAATTCAGGATAGGCTGCCTCAACTACCATTACCTCCCTCTTTTTTTCTATTTTTTGCCAGAAGGCATTCTCTGGCCACCATGATGGTTTGCTTGCTTGCTTGTGTGGTGATGTGCCAAGGAATTAATCTCCCACCACAGCCCTAACCAGGAAATGACAGAAGAGCTGGTGTGCAAATATTCCATCTGCTTCACTTCTTGGTGGATCACTTTAAGGTTGCCCAGAGTTTTCTAGCAGGACTGAGCTCCAGTTATAACTTCCTTGATTACAAAACCTTTTATTGGCTGCCTTCCCTTCTCTGTCTTACTTCTTTACTTTTCTGAGATCACTTCCCAAATAAACTATTTGCCACTGAATCTTTGTCCTGGGGTCTGTTTCTGTGGGAATTCAAACTAAAGCTCTGGGGTATTTAAGCCTCAAAAGAGAAAACACATTTAGAAGAAAGTAAAGACACACCTAGAGTTGCATAATTACTATTACATTACCAATTATAATTAAGTCCAGAAGCTGTATGCATCCATCAGCATCTTTGTTTTCTAGTCACTTTGACTCAGAGACTTCAAGAGGAAAATGACTTACCGTCAGGATTCAGCTATTCCATGAAAACTATAGAGACTTTTTGGACTATCTATGACAGACGATTTTATCTTGCCCTGACCTCTGCTCAGGATCCCTCATATTTGCTCTTTACTTCCTTCACTGTAACTTTCAATACTCAGGGCAGGCCTTTGCCTATAAATACAGGGAGCAGGTAAGAAGACTACTGCCCCCCACCTCCTACCTGCTTTATGGGGCTCCTTCCTCAGCTTACTTGTTTGTCCAGCACTTGGCTCTGGCCTCCTTAATTTCTGCCCTTTTGCTTAGGAACCCCTTCTCTCAGATCCAGTGGGTTCTGATTTGATGGCTTGACTACTCAATTCATACTTGGCTTCTCTTTGTGGATCACTTTGGTAACCTCACACACATACCTTTCCCTGGCTAAGATTCTGGTCCTTGCAGTTGCTTCTTAGTATCTTCTCAGGTGACCTATGCCTTTGGGGAGCAGAATCAGACACTTCTGGGCAGGCTTCCCCTTTATCCTTAGTAACTTACTGCATCTCAGGAAGAATGTCTATTATGAGTACTTATTCAGATAAAACTGAATGAGAAAATAAATGTGCATAAAGAACAAGAAAAAGCTTCATATGCATTTTTGGAGTGCCTCAAGTTTTCGATTCTGTTCAAGGGAAGGCCAAAAGTTAACTGTAGTCCCTCAGCCATGGTTCTATTGTAATGGCAACAATCACACCTCCACCATGATACCTGAAAGACAGGTGTTGCAGAAGAAGTCCTTGCATGCCAAGTGCCTACAATTTGTATTTCATTACTTGTCTGAAAATTTAGGTGTAGGTAATTCCTGTCAATAGATGGGACATCAAACATCAGACACCAGCATGTTTTCATTCAAAAAGAGAGATTTCTAGATTTACCTAATGCATCACCCTGTCTCCAGTTAAATTCATTAAGCAATATATGAAAGTATGATTTTTTTGAGATACCACAATCAAAAATCTCAGCCCACATCTTTGATAACATGTGTATGTGTGTTTAAATGCAGCCCCTAATTTCCTTCCTCCCCTTCAGATGTGTACTCATTATTCACTTGTGTCCAACAACGCACGGATGGCTCACCTTTTCCTTCATATTCAGAGAAAAAGTGTGTTCCTGCAGCTAGCTAGCTGCTTCCCGGCAGTATGTCCTAATTTCCATGAGCTTCCACTATGCCTCAACAGCAGGTATTTAGAAGACTGGGAAGAACTGGTGAGAGGAAAGGTATTCTGTATCAGTCATTGCTGGGTTGTTTGAACAGTTGCCTGAAGTTTACTTTCTGAGAGAGGGGGTCTGGCTTTCGCCTAGACGAATGATGTGTGAGGCAGTGAGGTTCAGGGGGAAAGGAGATATCCTGGGCCCTTTATAATGACTCTTAGTTGAAATGTGGAGACTAACAAACTACATAAATAACCTACAGCAACATTAAGAAAATCTCTGTCGTATCCAGCAAATTCTCTTAAAATTATCTGAATTCACAAAGAAATGTCATTATTAGAGATTTTGCCAGCAGGGGTCTACTCTTGGGTCAAGCCACCCAGATTTTGTCAGTGGTGTCAGCAAAGGATATAACCTGAAGGATAGCATGAAGGTCAAAAATGATGTTGCTAGAGCAGTGTCTTTTAATCAATGTGCACCCCTACTCCAGAACATGGATGCTTTGTAGCCTGAATCAATGAGCCCTATTGTTAAAGCTGAATAATAATACCTCTCACCTAAAAATTAAAAAAAAAAAGTTTTTAAAGGTTAAAAGTATACATAATTAAAAGCAATCAATGCAAATGACTTAGCCCCATCCATACAGTTCTTTTAACATTTGGCACATAATACCACCTTTGTATCATAAAGTTTAGAAAAAATAGTTAATTTCATGTGTCACTATTTCATATGGTCCTAAAAAGGGCACCAAGTGCTCTGCCATCTAAACACACATTAGAAGCCTCGCTCTGATTTCACATTTTGACTGTCCTTAGCCAAACTCTCTTGAGTCCCCAGGGTTTTATTGTTGGTACTGCTGCCACTACTGTGCATCATTGCTTCACCTCGTTAATTCAGCAAATATTCATTGGGAGCCCACTCTGGGCCAAGCGCTGGGCATACAAAGGTGAATAAGCAAAGTTCCCGCCCTTTCAAGGCTTACACATATAACAGGATTGACAGCCAATGAATACGTAAATGCATACCTAATAGGAAGCTACAGAAGAGGATGGGGTAGAACAGAAGAGAATGTTCCTCTGAAGAACAAACACCAGAGAAGTGAGGTCATGCGGTGAGCCATAGCTATGTTAAAGTGAGGGCAAGCTTCTCTGAGCAGGTGCCATGTCTGGTCCCAAACCTAAGCCACAGACTTTGCCAATAGCAGCAACAGACCCCAGGAAGCAATTTTGAGGTGCGTTTCATTCGTGCCACGTGACACACCCCACGTGCCTCTCTTGCGCAAATCGCTTTTCCCCAACTCTACTTCATTCCAGCACTGAAATACACATAGGCTGAGACTCTCATCCCTAGCTTTCCCCAGACAGGGTGTGCTAGGCTGCTTACAAAGGCCAAAGGATAATAAAAGAGTTGCCAAGTGAATTTTGGATTCCCATCTAGTCTGGATTTTTCAGACCAAATGAATCTGTTGGACCTGCATGACCTCAATTAAGATGGGAGGTGGGGGCTTCACTTTGGCCACACATCCTAAACCACAGAGAGCGCTGCAGTTTCCAAGCTGTCAGTCTTGGTGACTCCCCTGTAGCAATATTTAACTACTTGTGACATGAGATTCTGAAAGCTTTTGGAAAGTCTTATTCACTAATGGAAAATCCTCTTACATATTTTATAAAACTAAACAAACATCAAAGTTAACACTCAAATGCAACTTATTTTTTCTACACTTTTCAGAGCCTTTTCAGCATATAAATCCCTCCTGCAGTTTCTATTCAAACAAACAGTGCAAGAGCCCTGAATTATCAAGGGGAAAAAAGTAAGATTATAAGCTTCCTGAGGGTAAAGTCTCAATTTTACATTTTTGTTTCCCCAGTGCGTGACACGATGTAGGTAGGCAAGAAATTTTTAATTGATAAAAAGGGGGGGGGGATCTCAAGATATTTAACCACACAAAACAATCAGCCTTTGTTGATTTTCCTTTGAACATGATTAGCTATCTCCCAAGTTAAACTGTAACTGAAAGTCAAGATCTTTATATATATAGATATAGAATTCCAGTATAAGTGTGCCCTAAAAAAAAAAAAAACTTCCTATAATATTTTATACACTCTCAAATTTTCAAAAGGGCATGCAGGCTTCATATATACCATTATTATCAAGGATGATGATGACAGTAATTATAATAAGAGTGATGACGGATTAAGTGCTAACCATGTGCCCAGCTCTGTGCTGGAAGCTTCCCTATACCCTTCCCTCTTCACTTTATTCAGGAGGGCACTGAACAAGGGCACCTCTTACATCAAAGAGGTTTCTCCTTATCACCCTATGTAGACTAGCATGACCATCTGGTCCTTCTCACTCCTTACCTTGCTTTACCACCCACCTGCTGGTATTTTATATATTTGTTCAATTGCGTATTCGATCTATTCAACCACTAGAATATAAGTTCTATGAGAGCAGGAACTCTGTATTATTCACTTTCTTTACCAATTAGTAAAAACTCAATACATGCTTGATGAGTGAAAGAATATATGAATGATTTCATTCACCCTTTAACACAAGTCTGCAAGGTAGTACGTTTAGCCCCAAGGGACTGCCCCTCATATTTCTCCCAGTGCCGCGTTCTTCTTGATACCCTGCGCTGACAAATGTTGAACAAACAGACAAGGTGAGGGAAAGCCATCCCTCTCTTACCCTCTCCCTCCTTCTCCTACCTCTCCTTGACAGAACCCAAGACACCGGTTTTCTCTTCACTGGTACATTCTCAGAGGAAGGCAATGAGCAAAGTCCACACAGATTAATCATTCCCCATGTTATTTT